CTGATGGCTGTATAAAGCCGCACAACACCTGGGTTGCAGGCCACCAGGCATACACATTGGATGGGCTGGTAGCTGTGTCTCTGCCACTAGTTCCACAGAGTTTCAGGAACCATGATGACTGACATTCCTAAAACAGAGGCAAAGTGCTTGAGACATGTAGTGTTCACCATTGTCGCCTATACCTTACACCTCCTACCAGACCTAGGATACATAGGCTTATGTTTCAGGCCCTCATCTTACTACAGTATCTTCAGATGTAGGAAACTGGTTCCAGTGTACCAGTCATTGGAAGGAGGGAGGGATGTTCTGCTAGCAATGATTCCTGCCTGTGTTCATAGAAGACTGCTATAAAAGGCCTAATGGCATTGTGCATTGACGTGTCACCACTTTGAACTTGGAAACTTGCTTCTCTCCAGCATTCCCTATAAGCTGTGTACTTGGGCAGCCACCCAGGAGAGATTCAAATGCTTCCCAGCTGATTAGCAGAGTGCCCACAGCTGGCAGCATGTGTGTCTATGGATAGTGAACATCTGCACATGCCTCAGTGCAGTTAACAAAATTTATTCTGCTCATGGATGGATGGAACATCGCTCCCCTCCCCTGTGGCAGTGTGTTAAATCCAGCATCAGTCATAGGCAAGGAGTTGAGGGTATGTCTACACTACCACCCTAGTTTGAACTAGGGTGGTTAATGTAGGCAACCAAAGTTGCAAATGAAGCCCGGGATTTGAATTTCCCGGGCTTCATTTGCATCTTGCTGGGCGCCACCATTTTTAAATGTCCGCTAGTTCGGACTCCGTGCCTGCAGCTACACGCGGCATGGACTAGGTAGTTCGGATTAGGCTTCCTATTCCGAACTACCATTACTCCTCGTGGAATGAGGTGTACCGGTAGTTCGGAATAGGAAGCGTAATCCGAACTACTTAGTCTGTACCGCGTGTAGCCGCGGGCACGGAGTCCGAACTAGCGGACATTTAAAAATGGCGGCACCCGGCAAGATGCAAATGAAGCCCGGGAAATTCAAATCCCGGGCTTCATTTGCAACTTCGGTTGCCTACATTAACCACCCTAGTTCGAACTAGGGTGGTAGTGTAGACATACCCTAAGTGACTTGGTCTCCAAGGCTGGCCAATAGGCTGCTGATGAGACTGTATCTCTGGAAGATATTTAAAGGAGTGCAGACCCAGGCAGAAGGGGAGTTTTAGCACCAAGTAGGTTGTGGCGAGGGGAATCTAGAAAGCTCTGCAGCATAGAATCATAGAGCTGGAAGAGACCTCAGAAGGTCATCAAGTCCAGCCCCCTGCCCAAGGCAGGACCAATCCCAATTAAATCAACCCAGCCAGGGCTTTGTCAAGCAGAGACTTAAACACCTCTAGAGATGGAGACTCCACCACCTCCCTAGATAACCCATTCCAGTGCTTCACCACCCTCCTAGTGAAATAGTTTTTTCTAATATTCAACCTGGACCTCTTCCACTGCAACTTAAGACCATTGTACCTTGTTCTGCCATCTATCACCATTGAGAACAGCCTTTCTCCACCCTCTTTGGAACCTCCCTTCAGGAAGTTGAAGGCTGCTATCAAATCCCCTCTCACTCTTCTCTTCTGCAGACTAAATAGGCCCAACTCCCTCAGCCTCTCCTCGTAGGTCATGCTCCAGCCCCCTAATCATTTTGGTTGCCCTCCGCTGGACCCTTTCCAATGCATCCACATCCTTCCTGTAATTGGGGGCCCAGAGCTGGACACAATACTCCAGATGTGGCCTCACCAGATTCGAGTACAGAGGAATAATCACATCTCTGGATTGCATGTGTAGCTGATGCTTGTGGTAGCACCTCTTTTGGGGGGAGAGAAGTGACAAGCTTTTCATGCGCAGACAGGAATAATGACTGGTCGATAAAAAGGGCTATTAATTGAATTTCCAAAAATAATGCTCTGAAAAACTAGTTCTGTCCTGTCTCCAGAAGACACAACTTAATACTCTTGAAGTTTATTTAGAGTTCATGAAACGAGGTCCCCTAACCCATGTGGAGCTCTGGACTCAGTGGGAGACCACAGTGACAAGGCGAACCTCAAGTGCCCAGGTGAAAGCAGTGTTCCTTTGAAGATGGAGAAATGGGACACCTGTTTCATGACTCTCATTCTGAGGAGGGAGGTGCCCCAGAAATACTGGAGGCTGCAGGGTGTGACCTACCTCTTCAATGACAGAAGGGGCAGCTGTCTGTGGAACATCAGGCTAGTGACCGCAATGCTTGTGACTTGAGGGAGAGCCAGGAACACTGTGTGCAGGGAACGCCAAGGAAGAAGTTACTCACCCTGTGCAGTAATGATGGTTCTTCGAGATGCGTGTCCCTGTGGGTGCTCCACGCAAATCTCGGTGCACCCTCATGCCCGCTGATCAGAGATTTTTTGGTGCTGCGCCTGCGCACCCCGTGTCTTGCGTTGCTGCCATTTGCTGAGTGTAAGTGCGGGGCGAGCCCCCTTTGTTCCTTTTCCACCTGAAGTCCCATAAAGACTCCAAGCAGGAGGCATGGCCATCAGAGATAGGCATTGAGTCCCGACATGAGTCGCATCTCGTAAAGCCGGGGGAACCCGGCATGCTGAAGGAAAAGCTGCCGCGGCGTTTCTCTTTCCTTTTTTTTTTTATAACGAATATTGAAAACTGTCATTAACTGACTAAACTATGAAGACACTCTCAACTAACTATAGTATTCTTTTGTTTTTCCTGTCAGGAAGAAGAGTGCTGCTCTGACTGTCTTCAGCTGAGGACAGTAGAAAAGGAACCGATGGGGCTTGTGCCATGCGCGCACTCGGCAAATGGTAGCAGTGTGGATGTGCAGGTGTGGCACTGCTCGCCAAAAAATCTCCGATCACGGTGAGAGGGTGAACGACACCGGAACGGAGCACCCCCAGGGACTCGGTTGAAGATGAAATTCTAGAGACTGTGACTTGGGGCTAAGCCTGGCATTCAGAGGAACTAGCCCCAAGTCACGGTCTCTAGAACTTCATTGGATTAGGCAGATCGACATTGCAAATGAGGGGGAGGTATGTCGTAGTAGTGTGGCTAGCAGCTGTAACGGAAGTAGGTCCTTCACCCTGAGATGGGAGACAGCACAAGTCTGAGACGCGGACAGTGAGCTGGAAAATGTTACGATTTGTTTCAGTTTGGGACGCTGTCAGATTGGCAGTGGCTGAGAGCCCCGGGCAAGCTGCGGAGAAGCCCTGCCGTGGGACGGATCTATTGCATTGCTTGGCAGGACAGTCTCACACAGGCCTAGGGTGACAGACAGAACTCGCCTTCCATCGCATCTCCTCTGTCACTGGCCACGTGCTGAGCTTCTGCTTCTGCCTTTGAAAGCAGTGGGTGCTGCAGGCGCCCAGCCTCTGAATGTCCTATGCCTTTGTGCCACCACACTCACGCTCTGCTTTTCATGTCTTGTGGTGCTTGGCCCTGGCTAATGCCTGGGGATGCAGTGTGTGTGGAAGCCTTGACACACACTTCAGCTCTGCTCTTTTCCATACAGACAGCAGCTCTTTAGTTTGCCAATGGGGCTGAGTGTGACCACCCACGTTGCAGAATGTGTCCCATGCTGAGGAGTGGGCAGGTTTAACTGTTGGTTTTATGCCCTTACAGCCAGCTCCTCCCAGGCAGGGTGTGTGCAGACAGCAGCGTGATGTTAGGGCCAGGCTGAGATGGACTGGAACCGTCACTTCACCACCTCTCCAGGATCTGGGATTACAATAAAATAAAACCCTGATCCAACCTCCCTACCTCAAGCCCAGGTTTGGGTTTTGTTTTGCCAAAGCAGAAGCACAACAGAAGAGACTTTGCAAACCCAAGACGGCAGCATTCCCCCATTTTGCTCTTATCTAGTGTTAGGTCCCCTCTTGCACTGCTGTGACACCTACAAGTCACGTGGTCGTATCTTTGCCCACAGGGGACCTGATTCTCCCTCCAACCACTTTCCCAAGGTGCTACTGATTTCCCCTTTCAGCTCTCCTGCAAGGAGGATCAAGCCCCTGATGGTGTTCAGCAACTGGGTTTACAGACATTTGGGACTCAAAAACAGCAACACTTTCTGTGTGGCCCTGTGGTTTGGGTTCAGTGTGTGGCTGGGAAGCTGATTGGAGAAGGGCAGGAAGTGGACACTGCGGACTGCGATAGACAGGCAGCAGGAACCAGAGGTTAAATATAAATGTGCAACTCGGAGAGAGGAGAACACAGCACCACTAGGGCAGACTGGGGCTTCTGACCCCAGCTCCTGGAAAAGGGTTGGTTGAAGGCAAGAGCTTCTTGGATGCCCACTGCCCAAGGGCTCCCTCTGGAGAAAAGAATAGCTTGTGCTGAAGTCAATGTCAGCTTTTGAGACCAGTTAGGGCCCTCAGGAAGCAGCGACCTCACCATGGCAGGGGAACACTGATCACCTCTCCCAGAGCCGCTGATCTGTAGCATGCCCAGAGGGCTCTTATGACCACAGCAGCATGGCAGAATGCTTGGATGTGTCAGACCAAAGGCCCTGTCCTGGTCTGTAAGGGCATGCTAGGAGAAGACCATGTTAACAGTGCCTCTGTGCTTCCTGCTTATCTCTGGACTGCGGCACCTGGCCATTTCCCTTCCATAGAATCCTAGGGCTGGAAGAGACCTCGGGAGGTCATCGAGTCCAGCCCCCTGCCCAAAGCAGGACCAACCCCAACTCAATCGTGCCAGCCAGAGCTTTGTCAAGCCAGGACGTAAAAACCTCTAGGGATGGAGATTCTACACATACTTCCCTTTCTGGGGATGGCAGGATATTTTCTCTTGCACTGGCTCCCTGCTGTGGGGAGTGTGGGCATGGCAGAGGGGCACAGGATGGGTCTACAGAAAATGCAAATGACAAAAGGAGACAAGTTCTTTTTGATGGATTTTATTGTGTGTTTCTAAATGGCCCAAAGGGCTGGCCCTTGCTCAATGCCCCAGAGGAAGGCAAAAAACCTCCAGAGTCATTGGCCAATTTGCCCTGGAGGAAAATTCCTTCCCGACCCCAAATATGGCGATCAGTTTCACCCTGTGCATACGAGCAAGGACCTACTAGTCACTATGGTTACAAACCTTGTCCTACTCCACTCTGTGTCCAAGTATTAGCCAGTCTCCAGTGCTTTCCTCTTGTCTGATGAAGGTCAATTCTGCATGCATCCTAGCAGATGGAAACAGCTGTTCCTCTTGGCCCAATAGGTACCCCATGCAACTTTTGAGCATGGCTTCTTGAACAATGTCCACACTGGCTGCGTTTCCTTCATCTGAAAGTACAACCAAAGCCCCTGAATTGCACTCAGAAATGATAAGCAGGTTCTTCACCTTCTAATAAAGATGAATCCCCTTGTGTCAGCTATCATTCTTGGCTCCTCTTGGACCCTGAGACTATGTGGACTACACTGCAACACTATTTCAGGATACCAAAGTATCCCAAAATATCTATCTCATGTCTTCACAGCAAGCCCATTATTTTGGGCTCACTGTTCCGACATCCCTGTAAACCTCATTCTATGAGGAGTAAGGGATGTTTTGGAACAGCACTTTATTTTGAAATTTGGTACTGTGTAGACAGCGCCAAATGACAAAATAAGCTATGTTGAAATGGTATTGAAATAAGATATGCAATTTGCGCAGCTCAAATTGCATATATTATTTCAAGTTATAGTGCAGTGTTAATGCACCCTGAGATGTAACAAATCCTCTGACTCAATGTAAGTTAGCAATTTTGTGGAGCTGACTATGTTGCATTTACCAAATTCTTCTCTTACATCTCATCAGAGCCAATTTTGTTGCTCTATTGAATGAAGTAGCTGTGATTTGATATCTTAAGAGAGCCAATTATCCTGCCAGGTGATAGGAATGGCCTTGAACAGATCCATACATTTATACTCGAAAATCCTGAGCATTTATAAAGCGTATCTCCTGAAATGGCAAACCAGCTTCACAAATTAGTTCCTTAAAAGGGATCAAAGTTTGACAGGTAATTTGGTTGCTCATCAGTTTTACATGCCCGTAAATGTTCCCAAAGGGAATGGATCATAAAGTATCTTGTACAACAGAACCACAAATGCTCACTTTCTTGTCAATGACCATCTGCTGAATTGTTTGGATTGAAAAATGATGGTGACTGCCTTCATTGTCTGCCCATTTTAGTCATGAAAGCCAACTTTTCTTTGTTCTCTGCAGGTTTGGCCATGTCTTCCTTTATGCCTAATAATGTAACTGCATATACCTTTCAATCACTGTGAGATCAGATCAGCTGCATTTCTGTTACCTGAAAAGGAAACCCAAATCCATAAACTCCTTTACCATTGTTATGAGATGAGTTGCTTACCTCTGGGCTTCAGTGAAAGATCTTTTAGGAACTTCCTGAAGTTTTCTCACCTTTATTGTTAGTAGGAACTGCACTGCCCTAATCAGAAAGTATGAGAGGATCATTTCCACTTGAATGTTAAAAAAAAATACATTTGGGGAGATTTTCTTACCAATTGATATGCCTGGTTCAGTTCATTCCAACTGCATTCTGAAACAGTGAGAAAAATGCATACCTTCTGGGTGAAGAGCTGCTGTATTGGTTTATTTTTTCTCTCCATACAACCAGTTTATTGTTTAAAATCAAGTAGTTATAAATAACACTTTCCTTATAGTTGACTAGAACAAGTAGAGAATTCTCTAACCTTTCAACAGCTTTGGTTCTGTACATTGCTTTAGTTTTACAAAACTTGCTAGCAGCCTTTGACAGCAGAGGATAGATTCACTTCCTTCACCTGAAAGTACAGTCAGTTTAGTTAGTTTCCACTCCATTGCTACCAGGATGTGAATCACTTACCTCTTGAAAGGAACAGTCAGCTTCTCGTCTTACTTCTTAATTGGAACAATGTGAGCTTCTGACAGAGGAGCTGCAAGGATCAAATCAGCAGAATATGTATCTGCAATGTCATCTTTTGAAATCCGATGCCACCTCTCAGCTATGGCCACTTGCACCCTTTCCTCTTTGGATAGTACAAATGCCTGTGTTATTAAGCCCAGTCATGACAACTGGCATTTTTGCTACCCTCAGATTTCACAGTAGCTACATTTTCCCCACCTGAAAGTATGAGAGGAGCTATCCATTTCCATTTCAATGTTAAAAACGGGTCGTTTTTGTTTTATTTTGTTTTTCTTACCAATTGATAGGCCTGGTCCAGCTCATTCCTATTGCATCAGTCCCTTCTAGAACACAATGGTCCTCTCATCTCCTTCCATCCAGACACATGCGATCTGCGGTAACAATCAATGTGTGCCAGATTGATCAATTTATTCACTCTGCAAATGTTCCTTTAGCACCAGATTCACCTGAGAATCAGGGAAACCCAAATGCTCACCTCTGTCTGTGATGTGCTGCTGACTTGCTTCACATTCAAATTTGCAACTAGCCAAACCATTCAAAGTGACTGACCCTCTGTTCCTAGATTCCAATTCCAAGGTGCTGTTATTTCGTCAAGTGATTGGCAGCTGGCAAGTCTATCCATACTGCTTTAAGTCTGAGTCTGCTTTATACACTCTCCCCTTGACAAGTAAGGTCAAAAGCAATTTTTCTGCCTAAAAGTAAAATCAACACTGTTTGATGTGCACATGGCTATCTGGAGTCAGACCTTCCTTACCTCTTGCCAAAGACAGCCACTTTCCCGCACTTCTTCCTGGTAGGAATGGCCACCTAGTCTGTTCATATCTCGATTTAGGAAAGCCTGCAATCATCAACATTTGAGAGAATTTTATTATTATTACTCAGTACCTCCTATGTAGAGTCTTTGATGGAGATGGTTCCTTAGCAACCAGATCATTAGGATTCTAGTGACTTTTCAATGCTCACCCACTTGTCATGGTGTTTTGCCGCATGGCTTTGATTCTTACAAGTATAGCCAGCTACATGGGTTAAAACTTGAAGAACAAAATTGGCTGCTTTTCTTTTTCTGATCTAGAAGGAAAAGTTGCTTTTCTACCCTCTGGGCAGGCATAGTAACTTGTCTGACTTTATCCTTAAATTCAGCAGCCTCTAACCTTCCTGCCTGGAACAGCAAGACCTTCATTTCACCTGAAAATAGAAATGGAGCCTTTTATTTCTGGCCCTGGGCCATGAGGCGGTGCATTCCTTACCTCTTGATAGTAATGATCAGTTCCACTTCTCTTTACTTGACCTTTCATAAGTAAGCAACAATGATCAATCCTGCAGAATTGGAGTGGACCAACTTATCTCTGAAAATGTAAGAGAAAGTTAACATTGATTTTCATGCTGTGATTTCACTTTTTCTTTGAAATAACATCACTGTTACCTCCTTGCAAGAACAACCAACAGCATTATCAGAAGGAAAAATGAGGCAATATGATCTCTAGTTATAATTACCATCTGCTGTCCTTACAGCTGGATAGGTAGCCCCCAGGTATTTTTGTTTTATTCAGTACAGCCACTTTTTGTGCTCTTTAGAGAGATGTAGATTTCATCAGTTACTGGGGTTTTTTTTCTTCCTCAGAATATGACCAGCGCCATTAACTGTTATGGGAAGGTGTGTTGTATTTCTTACCTCCTGAAAATAATGGATTAGCTAGATCAGGTAAACTTCTTGTAAACTGCAGTCACCTGTCATCCATGACCCGCTGAAAAGACCTATTTGTCAGGCAACAAATGTAAATTGTGTGTCATTAGATTAATGTTGTTACATTGAGTAAAATGCATACCTTCTGGGTGAAGAGCTGCTGTATTGGTTTATTTTTTCTCTCCATACAACCAATTTCTTGTTTAAAAATCAAGTAGTTATAAATAACACTTTCCTTATCGTTGTCTAGAACAAGTAGAGAATTCTCTAACCTTTCAGCAGCTTTCCTTTGCTTTAGTTTTACAAAACTTGCTAGCAACCTTTAACAGCAGAGGATAGATTCACTTCCTTCACCTGAAAGTACAGTCAGTTTAGTTCATTTCCACTCCATTGCTATGAGGACGTGAATCACTTACCTCTTGAAAGGAACAGTCAGCTTCTCATCTTACTTCTTAATTGGTACAATCTGAGCTTCTGACAGAGGAGCTGCAAGGATCAAATCAGCAGAATATGTATCTGCAATGTCATCTTTTGAAATCCGATGCCACCTCTCAGCTATGGCCACTTGCACCCTTTCCTCTTTGGATAGTACAAATGCCTGTGTTATTAAGCCCTAGTCGTTACAGCTGGCTGTGTTGCTTATATTTTGGCAAAGGCAATTAGATTCTACCTAATGCTAAAGACATCAGCCAAGGATCTCACTCCTATCTACTTCTTCGGTGTGTCTCCTCCTTTCTCTTCTACTGTATCCTCTTCGCCCATTCTTATATCTCCCTCTTGTCTCTCCTCCTTTCTCCTCTCTCTCCCTTCCACAGTTCCCTGATGTTTCTATCTGCTTAACTTCAATTTCCCCTCTCCACCCTTATAGATACCTCATTCCACCTACCAGCCTTGTCCCTGCCTTTCCTTCCTCCTCACCAGAACTCTGTTCTTTGTCCTTCTGTGTCTCGCCTTCCATTTTGTAGGAAGTCGGTGGGTCCCAGAAGATGTTATTTCTTTGCCCTGGTCCCTGTCCTGAGACCTAGACATTAGCCATGTGCTCTGGATGATGTCCTAGTGTGAAATGCTGCAGCCCTTGGTGACTGACCCAATAATCACTGCATCACAGCTGAGCTGTGGTCATTGTCACCCCCTCCTCATTTGGGCAGTGTGAGCAAAATGACCAGCCCCAAGTCCCTGCCAAGGGAGCTAGTGGGGAAAAGGGCTCTGTCTGGCTCTGCAAACCATTGAATGAGTCACCACGCTTCAGTCAGCAGTTGGGCTGTTTGTTCCAGGGTCTTGTCTGGTTTCTTACCTGTGATTTGGATGGGGTGAGAGGCAGCCCTCACCTGTGAACGCTGACATCAGGAATCCCTCCACCGCTTGTCTCGGTCTCTGTTTGTCTAGGGTGCTGCCCTTACGGCGGAATGTTCCACTTCCCTCACAATTGGCCTATTCTGAGCAGGGCTGAGTTCCAGCATCTTGCTCAGAAACCAGTGGGAGCTGAGAATGCCCAGCCCCTCTCAGCACTAACCGTGTCGGCTGGATCTCACGGCTTTGTGCCCGTCAGCGCTATGTGGAACCCTCCCTCTTACGAGATAGGCTGATCACTGCAGAATGTACCACCAGCCAGGGGTTTCAGGGTTTGCTGTAGATGGGTGGATACCAGAACCATGACACTACCCTTCCCTGGTTGCTGGGAGTTTGATTAAATGACACGTGCTGTTGGATGCATGTGTGAGTTGTATTGGTGCAGCTCTGGGCAGGGAGCCAGCTCAGCAGATCAAACTGCCTAAAAGGCTTCTTTAGATGGGCAAAAGTGCCCTGGCCAGGTTTATTACTGACAAAGCATAGTACTAGTACCCTCCAGGCCCTGTAGGGACATGAATACTTGTGCTGACAAAGCATGACCCTCCAGGCCCTGTAGGGACATGAATACTTGTATACCTATGCCAATGGACCTGCTCAGTCAGCAGCAGGACTCTCCACTGCCCCCCCAGACAAAGACGTACCTTCTGAGACCCCTCCTTCATACACTGAGACAAACAAGTTACATATTACCCCATGCTTTGTACCTGTTGGTTCAAACAAAACATCTCCAGCTTTTACCCTGCTGTCTTGAACTTCTCTCTAGGAGGAGTCCGTGTGTCCCTTTCCCCTTTTCAGGGCGTGTATGTTTATATCATAGCTTTGTATCAGCATATTCTTGTGGTACCCTCCTGGGATGTGTATAGTGAATAGCTAGAGCCTAGTTCTACTTGAGAAAGCCTGTGTTTTCGTAAAACCAGCCATATTCTTGCCAAGTTTGCACACGGAGCAGTGAAGTTGTAAGCAGGCATCTGCTTTGTAGCAGGGCCTGACTCATGTTGTGGTTTTTTGATTCTAGCCCCATGTTACAGGCTCTGTCCTAGTGCTGTTGCCCTCCCTGGGCCACAGTTTGAAGTAACTGTGATTAGTGAATCATGTGCTGCGAAACCTCTGGCATTCTTTACCTTTGTTCTTTGTTGGCTTCCTTAAATTAAAACGGGTCATTCTGGCAAACTCTCTCTCTCGTCTTTGTGCTTTGAAAACATAACCCAGTGCACTGTGCAGACACAGAGCAGACACTGTGGTGGCTCAGAGCCTGGGTATGTGCAAGGAAGTGTTTCTGTAACAGTGTCTGTTCCCCTCACACCTTCTCCCTGTTTCTTTTGGTGTTACTGTGGCATTGCATGCACCTTCTGGAGTTAATGTACTTGCTTTTCATCAGCTCTTTTCACCACAGTGTGTCACTTACGGAGGGTTTGTTGCTTCAGGGCTACTCCGCCTGACTGTCCTACTCTAGCCTAGCTATCCAGTTGCCCTGAAAGCTAAGAAAAACACAAAACAACTGTTTGGTTTGGCGTTGGACTCTCTGGCTGTGCAGATTTAACCTTCTGTGTGCCTTGCTTCCCTTAGGCAGCAAAAGAGAGAGGAAAAAAGTCCCAAAAATTCCAAACAGAAAAACAGAAAAAAAAGATCCTGAGGTCTGTGTTCCTGGTTCAGAATGATCTGCCACCATGTCAGGGCTGTTCCTCACTCTGGCACTCCAAGAGCAGAAGGTAGGGGCCCACAAAAGACCTTAAAAATACCTTGCCTCTCTAGGCTTCTGCTTGAAAGCTCCCCAAGGCCACCAATTCCCTGGCCTTGGGAGGTAGCTGCCCACCACCAAATGAAACAAGAGATCCCTTTCTTCTTGAAACCAAGAAGGAAGCACTTGGACTTCTTCCCGAGGGGTATCCCCAAGCTCTTTTACCACAAGAGAGCTTGGGGAAAAAGAGAAAACAAAACTGCAGTCTCTGGTAGCTGACTTCTCAGTCTTAGACTTGCATACACAAACACTGGCCTTCCATTTCCTTCTAGCACACAAGAATCAAATTATTGCTTTAAAAAAGGTGATTTTATTATCAAAAAAGATATACTTGATAAAGAATACTTGGTTGCTAGGTGTTACAGAGGAACTAAGAAATGAGCAGATTCAAATAGAGGAAAAAATGGTATCTCTGGGTACAACTTAAGTAGTGAATGGCGGGAGGGAGGCACATGGATTTTGCACAAAGAAGTTTTACCAAAAGGAAAATAAAGAAAAATAACCTCATCGTGACAAAATATACATTTTCCCTCTACTCATGATCCATGCTGATCTGTACTTCAAAGCCCACTCAGTTTATTTCCATGTCCAATATTTTTTATAGGCATGGTAATTCTGATTACTGCATCCCTCCAGTCCTTAACTTATAATTTTTACACAAAGAGAGCTGGCAAGGTATCTATATGCAATTCAAATTTCAGCACTGTATGCCCATTGGTTCTTCTGGACCCCTGCCAACACCTTTGCTAGCTACCTAAGTTTAACTCATTAGTCACCAGGGGCTGGCCAGCACTCCTCCGCTCCATCACACGTCTGTAATGCTTTCATATATACTGATACTCTAGGCAAGGTTGCAGCATTATTTTCAGAGCTCCAACCATGCTCTGTGCTTCTAATCCTGTGAGAAATGGGTTTCATGTCAGCCACAAAATAGAACAAACAGGCCAAGAAAACGGTCCCTGCCAGGTCTGGAACTGCTTTTAGAGTGAAATGCAGTGGAATGGGGAAGCTTCCCAAAGAGAAAAGGCAGCAGGACTCCACATATAGCTCAAGCTCTGTGGCTGACTCTGCGTTGTGACTGGATTTGAAGAGACAGTTCACTCACTCACTCTTTTCTGAAACGACACTCTCTGGAATAAAAATCACAGCCAAGATTCTAGCAAGAGCCGCAAGAACCATCTGGCTGATGAAAACAAAGTCAGAGGTATTGCTCTTTATCGAAATCAGGAAAAGCCTGTAAACGCATGATGCAGGAATAGAAAGAGGGACTGATTTGTCTGCAAAGGAGGAATTGAGACTGATGGATGAGGAGACAGCAGAGGCAGTTTAAAGATGGAAACATTATTTCTACTCTCCCCTTAATTTCTTATCCCCTTCTACAGCACAGGCAGTTCCCTTGGCCTCCCTTTTTGCCAGCAGCTTTCTCTTCATCAACCTACTGTTGGGAATGGGGCTGCTCACCCACTTGGCTTGGCTGGGAGTCTCCGGAAATCAGCCTCAACCTCCAGGTTGCTATTGAAAATAATCCAGGAGATTTTTATAGGCCAAAAGTGGCACAGCAGGGCAAAGGCAGTCTTCCTGTCTGCCCTGGCTCCTTGTAGCTCCTGGAAATGACTGGCATGTCCCTGCAGACCCTCAGTGCAGTGGCAGTCAGAGCACCGCCCTGGAAACTTCCATTGTCTGGGAACCGCGTCCGTGGCCGATGGGAGCTATGGAGCCAGTGCTTGCAGGGAGGGGCAGCACACAGAGCTGCCTAGCCACTCCGAACATAGGCACAGCAAAGCCATTCTGGTCACTTCTGGGAGCTAGATGAGGTGAGTGCTGCCTGGCTGGACCCTGTACTCCAACTCCCTGACCTAGGCCCCTTTGTGCACCCAAATCCCCTTCCAGAGACTGCACCTGACACTTCCTCCTGCACCCAACCCTGTGCCTCAGACAACGCCTGGAGCTCCCTCCCACACTCTGAACCCCTCAGCTCCATTCCTCAGCCCAGACCCTTACCCCCTCACGCACCTCACCTGAAAGTGAGTGAGGGTAGGGAACAGCAAGTGATGGAAGGAGGGGGACGGAGCAAGAAGGATGTGGCCGGTGAACAAAAATTGCCTTCCAGCTGTGTTACATATTTCACCTAAATATCTACTTGACTCCAGCATGAATACAGCCTGCTATCAGATATTCAGTATTTTAAAATGATGGATATCGCTCCAGTTAAACCTGTTGGGAGGGAAGTTAAAAGCTTAATGCCAAATTGCATTTGGATAAGTAGAACAGAAGAGTTGCACAGACAAATTAGACATTTTATTGGTGTTATGCAGTCTCTCTAGTTTGTGTACAGATAACTAATCAGCCCAAAGTTGTGCTGGAAAAATGGATTCAGAGTCGACAGAGTATTCATCTGACAATTAATTTTACCCTTGAAAGCTTATATCTTAATAAATCTGTGAGTCTCTAAAGTGCCACAGGAGTCGGGTTTTGGGTTGTTTTTCAGATACAGACAAATACCCTTCTGAGTCTACACTGCAGCATTTTTCTGGAAAAATGGCTGATTTTCCAGAAAAACTTCACTGACATCCACACTGCTATTGTGTTCTTTCGATAGAAAGTCAAAAGAATGGAGGTTTTTTTCCGACAGCGGTAAACCTCTTTCTACGAGGAAGGAGCCTTTTTCTGAAAGAGCTCTTTTGGAAAAAGGAGTGTGTGGACGTGGAAGAGGCGCTTTTTTTCCCCAAAAGAAGAGGCCTCCAGGAAATAGTACAGGTGCCCTGGTGGACACTCTGTCCAAACGAATCACAATTCTATAGTTGCTGTCTCCTGCCAGCTCTTAAAGCTGCAGGCACCCTGGACAAGCCTTGTGGCAAGAAGCTGGCTGTGGGAACAGCACCTGACCATGTGGCTCTCCCAGCCTCAGGCATTAATACCCATAACACAGCCACAAGCCCCCCGGGACTCCTCTGGCCCTTGCAGGGAGCAACATCAGGACTCCCAGGACCCTGCCTGGGGTAGCAAGCGGCATGAGCGTTCCTGGTCTGGAGCGGTGATCCTTTGCCTCCTTGAGCTGTTGGGGGAGGAGACTCTGCAGGATCTCTGCTCCCGGTGCAGTAATGCTGATATCTCTGGGTGCCTGGCCAAGGCCTTGGTGGAGCAAGGACACGCTCCCCCAGATCTTAGAACAGGTCTGGAGTAAAGTTAAGGAGCTTCGCCAGGGCTATGCCAGGGCCAGGGAGCACAGCTTTCACTCCGGACAGGACCCCACTCCTGCCCCTATTACCAGGAGCTCCATCAGATCCTTTCCCCACCTGTAGTGGTGGACTCGGGGCTCGAAACATCTGTCATCACCTGCCCGGAGTTTGCTAAGGAGGAGGACGAGGACAAGGATGGGGACGAGGACGAGGGACAACAGGGGCAGGAGGAGGAGGACACTGCCATGACACTGACCCTGGAGCTGGAACCCCTGGGCCTGGCTGTGTCTCCAGTATCCTCTGACGGCAGGGAGGGATCGTCAGGCGAGTGCTCTGAGTTTTACA